ACCCTAGTGAAGTCAGTGAGAACTTTGCCACTGACTTCAATGGAACCAGATTTCACACAGACTTTTAAAATCCTTATTTATGTCCCAGTCCTCCAAACATCTATGCATGAGTAACTTGACATACAAGTAGTCCCATTAAAAATGTCTTGGTATTTTATTTAATCTTTTAGAATACTGTGTAATTTCTTGAAATTTCAGGGGTTTCTGCTTGAAATTAGGACCATTTCAGATGAAAATGCCTGTAGTCTTTTATACATATACACACACTGAAAAATTCAAGTATTTCAAAATTCCAAGTTTCTAAATCCACTTTGAATGTAAATTAATTGTGGATTCAAAATGTGCAATTTTGAATTCTACGTTTTTAATTTGTGCAAACTTTGCCGCATATCTGGATTGTGAAGTGGTCCAAAATTAAATGCTGAAATAGTCAAAACTGTATTGTCACTGTAGCACAGCTATTCCCATAACAAGTTTATAAATCACATACAAAGATCAGACGCATATGATGATCTTTTTATCTAGAAAACACACTGAGGGAGGTCAGCCTCATTGTTGCCTCAACGGAGGCCTGTAAGGTCCAGATCCTCAGGCATCCTGCTGTCTCTAGACTCCATCTTACAGATGTTACGGGTTCGGCCACAGAGATCACCTTGGGACTGTCACCTAATGTGCTAAAATTACCTCTGAGCCCGTTTTTCCTGCCAGCTTGGGACTCCAGAACCCTGCCTTGTTGAGCCAGACACACTAGTCTGCTGCAACACAGACCCAGGGTCTGGGCCACGCTCCTGAAGCTGCAGACTTAACTAAAAACAGCTCAGCAGGTTACCTGTCTCCAGCACCCAGACCCCAATGGGATCCAAACCCTAAATAAATCTGTTTTACTCTGTATAAAGCTTATACAGGGTAAATTCATAATTGTTCGCTCTCTATAACACTGATAGAGAGATATGCACAGCTGTTTGCTCCCCCAGGTATTAATCACTTACTCTGGGCTTATTAATAAACAAACGTGATTTTATTAAGTATAAAAAATAGGACTTAAATGGTTTCAAGTAATAACAGCCAGAACAAAGTAAGTCACAAAGCAAAATAAAACAAAAACATGCAAGTCTAAGCCTAATACATTAAGAAACTGATTACAGGTAATATTTCACCCTCAAAGATGTTCCAAAAAGCTTCTTTCACAGACTAGACTCCTTCCTAGTCTGGGCCTAATCCTTTCCCCAGTCCAGTCTTTGTTAGATCCAGCAGACATCTCAGGTGGTAAGCAGTGGTTTTCTCATAACTGGCAGCCCCCCTTTGTTCTGCCCTACCCCCTTTTATAGCTTTGGCACAAAGTGGGAAGCTTTTGTCTGTGCTTGTCCCCACCCCCGCCTCATCAATGGAAAAGTACAAGGATTAAGATGGATTCCAATATCATGTGACATGGTCACTGTAAGACCCCTAGTCTCCATTTTTCCTGGGTTGGCCCACACGTACACAGGAAAGCTTGCAGGTAAATAAACCATTTACAACCATTTGTCCTAGTCAATGGGAGCCATCAAGCTTCTAAACCACCATTAATGGCCCACATTTTGCATAATTACAATAGGACCTCAGAGTTATACTTCATATTTCTAGCTTCAGATACAAGAATGATACATGCATACAAATAGGAGGAATATATTCAGTAGTTTATAACCTTTGTTATGATACCTTACAAGAGGCATTTTGCATAAAGCATATTCCAGTTACATCATATTCACACTCATACGCATATTTCCATAAAACATATGGAGTGCAACGTCACAACGGCTTCTGACAGTCCCAACTTCTCCCTTTGCACTAGTGTGCATGGGCATGAAGACTTGACTTTTCTAAAGAGACTGAACACCCTTTAATATTGTACTGCTGCATGAAGCTTAGCTACCTCAAGGACTACTTCAGCAATTGAGCATGAAAAGGAACTATGGGTTGTTCAAAGCCTCTCTTTTTAAAGGGTAATGATGCTGTAATAAATTACCATTTTTATAGTACATTACCAGTGAACCACATCAGGAGAAGTGGGTTATTAATATATTCACCGTTCACCTCAAAAGATAATTATTTGCATGTGCAATAGCTACTTAACTTGAAGTATTTTGTTAAACAATTGGATACTAGTGATTTTAGAATGGAATTAATCCTATTCTGATCTATTTTTCTTGTATGTATTGTAATACAAAACAGGCCAGATTCTGCACTGATTTAAATCTACAGGATTGCCCAAATAGTAAGTCAACACAGAATGTGCCATAATAAGTATTGCAATTAAATGCATAAAAGGCAGATGATGGCTTTGATTTTTATTTTCATTGTGCACGTAACCACAGAATCACCAACCATTATATATAAGGATGAAAGGAGAATGCAGAGACCTTTATGTTAATTGATGTGTTCATTTTTTATTGTTGATTTAATGCTCACAAAAGGTGCTGTTAGGAGATTGAAGTTGTCTATTTATCCCACAGCAGGTAAAACATGCAGGATAAAATCTTTAAGAGCACCTAAGTGCTCTTAAATTCTTAAGTCCCACTGAGTTTCAATCAGATTTAAGCTTCTAAGTGCCTATGTCACTTTTGAAAACTGGACAGGCACCTAAGTAATTTAGGTGCATTTGAAAACTCTACCTGCCTCAATCCTGACTTGGAGAAACCACTTATAGGTTAAGACGGGAGTTCATTCTCTGTATCCACTCTGTCCTTGGCCTTTCTGATGTAAGTGCCTACAAAAGGATCAATTAGTTCCAACTCTGGTGGGGAATAAAGTATTAGTGAAGATCCATTTTATAGCCTCTTGGAAAGTTATGATCGAGATGATGTAACACACAGATTTGTACACGTGTATTAAATTATGCATTGTAATTAAAGGCTTTTTCACATACATTTGAATGAAAGCTGTTGTGGATACATTGACTGCAGTTGTTCAGACAAACTGTATGCTGCAATATAAATGACAACTCACCAGTCGTAGACCAAGGATCTCCAGTCACAGAATGAGGCTCTTCCAACAAATGCCCCTAGGGTGTCCTTGTGAAAATCAGCCAGAGAACCACCAATCAAAATAAAAAACCCAGCAACAAAACATGTGGTTCTTGTGGGTGTGGAGCCCTCACTCATCTTGAGCCACTTTCAGATGGCATCATTATGTGGTTGTCACAATGCATAGCTAAGTAAGTGCTACAGAAATGGATGTTCTTGTCAGTCAGATTCTGTACGCTGCCACTATTATGTAAAACGGAAGAGTCATTTATTAATACGGATACTTTTCTGTGAACATCTGTTGAGTAGAAACAGAAGTTTTTTGTTTGGCTGAGGGGGTCCTCAACTTTTTCATACTGTGTGCCATAGTTTAATACAGATGGTCTTGACCTTCCCTTTTATTCATGACCCCAGGGACCACCTCTCCTTCAATTCATGATCACATATCAACTACAGCACTTGCTCAAAGAGGAAAGTAATGCTAGGGAAGTATTCAATATATTTGCCATCTTTTAAATTCATTTTAGTAGTAAGAAATAAAGAAGGAACCAACACCATGTGATCTGCCAGCTCTCTGCAAACCTCCAGCAAGTGCTTCACAGACCACAATTTGAGAACCACTGTTCTAGTGCATGGCTACAACAGCTTTCTCCCTGCATCCTCTTCTATCATTAGACTTGGCATATAAAGCAATACAGATACACTGCATTTGATGAACTAACTACTGCAGGAAATCTATATTGGTATTCACAAGTAAGAAAAATATTGTACTGAACTGGTTTGTACGTGTGCTGAGTGGAATCAGAACAGTTCAACTATACATCATCTTTCTCTTTGGCTGAGGCCAGATCGGTCCTCTTCTGCTTATATGACCTGAAGCAACCCAATTCAGGCTAAATGCATTGGGGGCACAGGAGTGGGGAAAATACTATCTCTGCTTCCATTTTCCCCAGGTGTTCACTTGGAATTTACAAAAGAGACCTTATATAGGTGCATCACAGGAATTGGGATCATGATGGCTGGGTGCAGGAAGATGTATGGAGTTAGGAATCAGCCACTTTCTGTGGCACTGTTCCCCAGCTTGTCCTGAATGTATCCCGTTAGGAATGGATGCTGCTTCCTAGACTATAGATGCTATGGTGATGGGCACAATATAAGAACACAGATAGACACACTCCTGCATTGGCTGCTACTTCACAACTGCAGGGGACTTAGCAAAGGGCATCACATTTCCCCTGCTGAGGTCATGCTGCTAAGGGAAAGCAGTACCCTCCTTAGCTATTTCCTACCTCCATGCATCTCTTCCCTGCAGAACCCTACTCTATGCCCCACAAGGGCTTTCCCAGCTGCATGGATGGTTTCTAAAATATCCATCTTACTGAGTTTCCTACCCTCTACCCTCATCCCATGGGTTTTTCTGAAAGAAAGGATCTTCTAGCTTCATAGCATTTAATTTATTCTCTCCCTCTGCTATTCTTTCTGAACTCTAGATATTTGAGGATACATTTTGTATGACAGACACTAAATGATGCTATATTGTATTTTCCATTAACAGACCATTTATTCTTCTAGATCTAAATGAAATTAAAGAAACTGAAGGGTTTTATCCCCCAACTTTTAAAAGTCACATATTAATACCAATAAAATCCAACCTATTTATAGAGTATCTTTCTAAGCACTGGATGTTTTAAGCACCTTACAGTTCTATGCCGAAGCCCTTCTTAGCTTAAACATAGTAAATAACTTGGGTATAAAGTCAAATACTCCATTTTAAATATTAGCAGCTGGTCACACCAGCATATGTCGACTTGATTATGGATTATTCTCATGTGGCACAAATAGCAAGAATTGTAGAATTTAAAAGTGAAAGCTCCAAATTAATCTTTAAATGCTTTAACCAAAAATCAAGGCTTTTTCTGCAAGAGTCTAAATGAAATCTTTATCTGTGCTTAGAGGCTCATGCAAATGTATTCAAAATGTACTCTCTGGATCTCTTACCATGGCAGATTGGAAGCTGCTAAAACAAATACAAGATCATCAGATCGGGCCAAGCCATCCATCTGCACCAATAATTCTGTTTTCATCCGCCGACTTCCTTCGTGTTCACCACTACCAAGATTCAGAGAAATGTTGTTTGCTCAGTGCTTTAATGCAATCACCTTTATTTAGACTGTCATTCAGAGCAGCTGACCCCTAGTCACAGTTTTGTCCCAATTCAAAGCATGATTAAGTACCCTTAGCTAACATCCAAGCATTAAGTCAAGCTTCCTGATGATTACTTAAATGTGCTCACTTCAGTGCATTAGCTTGGAGTAAATCCACTATTAATGGAGTAAAAGAAAAATATATATTTTGTTTTATCTTTGCATAAAGATTAGTACAAAAAAAACGAGTAAATACCAGAGTTGGTATTTAGAGGGAAATGTTGCTAAGCCTTGGGTTAGCATTATGTAGGAGAATTTATAGAGAAGTAAAGGTTGCAGTTAACATACTAACATTGTCAATGTATTCAGTGCAACTAGTGTAAAGAGGAAGAGTTTGTGAGAGAATTTAAACTGGCACAGAAAGACATATTTACTACTGAATTTAGTACACATCATGTCCTTTTTGTTTGCTCCCGAGAAAACAGACCATGAAGAACTGAAACAGTAAAAGCCAAACACATTCTTCTTTCTTTGAGACGGAGGGTTAGGAATCCCACCTAAGAAAAGATGAGGTTTAAGGGCTTGCTCCTGCAATGTGCTAAGAACTCTGACCTCAATACAGTAAAATATTTTAGCAAGTGCATAAGTGCTTTGCTGGACTGAGGCCTGGGGTCCAAAGTGCTCAGCACCTAGCAAGATCAAGCCCTAAGAAAGCCTAGAGTGTATGCCCTGCAGTTCAGGTATCGGGTCTTTTTTCTGTAAAGTGTCATCTTGACATATGGTGCTATATCAATATTTAATAAAATAACCTCATTCTTGGATATGTACCCCACTTTGATCCATCACTCACTGGAGTCAGGGAGAGTTATAAAAGAAAGTATGAGGGCAAAAGCTGGCCTATAATTTATAGCCATTAATTGGCAATGATTACAAATTGCATCTTTATAATGCAGTGTACTGTATACATTCTTTATGAGGACATATAAACACCTGGGCATGGTATGCAAAGCATCTAGAAACCTCGGTAAAGGGCACCCTATGCATATACTGTAATAAAAACAACATCTATAAGTTGTTTTTGCCCCCAATCCCATCAGTTTTCTGATTTTTCTTAAACTTTAACTGTGTGTATTGTCATGGATGGCAGTATTAATGTTGCTTCATTCTCGCTGCTACAAACCCTGTCCATAGTAATTCCTTTACACAGTGATGCAACTGCCTCCTCTCTGGCCTTACTGTCTCTCACCCGGTCACCCCCAATCAGTCCATCCAAAAGGTTGCAGTCAAAGGTCATCTTCTCATTTTCCCCTGTGAATCCTTTCACTGTTTCCCCATCCTCCAGTCCAGGCTTCTTATTTTAAAGGACAGTCATAACTGCATTCTTGTACCCCTCTCCTACTCATATTCTTCCTGGGCCAACATATCCCAGTTAATCCCACTCTGCTCGTCATGCGTTCTTCTGTGCCACCCCTTATGCTGATATCTATGGATTCATAGTGGATTATTGTTGGAATTATTCAGGCATGAGCCTTACAGGTTGAAAATGGGCTTAAAGAAAAGTTATTTAAAAAAATTAAATCTAAAAAAAATTATTACAGTTAAAATACAACTCAAAATAGTTATTCTGTCAATGGGATCTAAATTATAGGTCTTTCTATGGGCCCAATCATGCATCTATTGAAGTTCACGGAGTAGGTGCAGGCCTTATTTGAACTAATGGTAACAGGCTCAGTGCACTGGTAAGTGTTGATTGGCACCCAATCAAAGCACTTATTGAATATAAATTAGTTTTTAAAAAAGTATTATTTTGAAGCTTCGCAAGCTAAGTCGTCAATTACCCAGGATGATTGCCTCTCTGACTCATTACCGACTCCAGCTCATCCAAGAAAATTGTGGAGGGAGCATGATATCGGGCAAGTTCAAATAACACCTGTTCAAAGAAAAGAATCCACAAAACAGAATTAACAACTGTGGCAAGCAAAAAGGTGATAAGGGCTATTGATACAAAAGCTAAATAATGATACAAATCAGTGCACACATCACACAAACCTTTTGGGGCAGGGGTGGGGTGGGGTGGGGAAATGGAATAAATGTTCTGACTTGGTAGAGGGTCCCGGAGTCCTTCCTTAATTCTGAAAGGTTTATAAAAGGAGAGATAAAGAACACACACACACACACACACACACACACACACACACACCCCTGTCTTTACATTTAAATCTTTCCCTCTAAATCCGAGCCAAGTACATGGAGAATAATGGGATAGAAGAAAAGGATTCCATCAAAGGACTCTGGGGAAATCCTAAAATGTTACCAGAAATTAAATATTTTTCTTCTTTTATTGCTGCTCCATTTGTTCCCCCCCCATCCTTATTTAAAAAAAAAATCAAAACAATTCCAATGAAGAAAACAAACAATATTCTCTTAATCAGAATAAAGTAATTCTTTTATTTTTCCTGACGAGAACATTATTCTAATCAACAGAATGCTGTTAGTTTCTTTCACTGGAATTTTTGTGATTTTTTTTTAAATAAGAATTTGAGAAAAAAACAAATGGAGCAACAATAAAAGAAGAAAAATATTTGCCTGTCCCTAATGCTAAATTTCTTGTTGGAATACTGAATTGCTGTAATTAATCTGCCTCCACATTTCCTGTTTTTGTTACCCCATGACTGTGTTAGGTCTAATTTAGGCTTACGATTGTAGGGACTTTTATTTGCCAGTAAAGTGCCACAAGCAACTGTAGTGATGGCTGTGATACTTCCCAGAGGTACCCAGGGTTGTAAGGCACCTTGCTACCACATGCCCTTAGCATGAGGAAGTTTTGTCTGTGACGGTTATGGATCAGCACGACTCCCCCATCCTCTGGCAACAAGAGCACTACCTTCCAGGCCTCCCTCTCAACGTGCAGGTTAGCGATAGGCACACACAAACTGCCTCTGGAGTCCCCAGTCCCTGATCTACTGAACAGTCACTAAACTTTCAGATTCTCTATTCCCAAAGAAAAAGCACACCAGCTTATTAGATTCCTCGAAGGATCACCACTCCGCTTAACATACAGCACTTAGATATATTTATAGTGAAAACAGGAATAAGTTTATCATCAAAGAACTTGATCATCATTCAAGTGATAGAGTGAGAATATTGGAAACAAATGCTTACATATAAAACATAAGAACGGTCATACTGGGTCAGACCAATGGTCCATCTAGCCAGTATCCTGTCTTCCAACAGTGGCCAATGCCAGGTGCCCCAGAGGGAATGAACAGAACAAGTAATCATCAAGTGATCCATTCCCTGTCGCCCATTCCCAGCTTCTGGCAAATAAAGGCTGACAAAATCATAACATTCTTTCTAGAGCCTAAACTAACTCACAAGACATTCCCCAGTCTCCTATAGAATAGCTTACCCCAGACCTTTTCCTAGCATTTTCAAACAGGAAGGCCGAGTTCCCCCTTTCATAAGATCAAGACTGCTGGCAGATTGTCTTCACAGTCTGAAGCATGCCAAGGCACCTCTCTGCACCCTCAGACAGATAAGACCAGACCTGAAAACAGGTTGTCCCCCACTCTTGTGGTTTAACTCTTCCTGTTAATTTCCTTCTGAAGCCTCCACAAGCTCGTTGTTAGCATTTGACTCAATATGCTAATAGACTTCTATTTTAAGACACACAATAAGCAGTGGTCCATCGGGAAGATAAGTCTGTCTCACCTACTGTCAGGAGAAGTTTATCTCAAGGCATACTACCTTAGAGCAGTGGCTCTCAACTTTTCCAAACTACTGTACCCCTTTCAAGAATCTAATTTGTCTTGTGTACCCCCAAGTTTCACCTTACTTAAAAACTTACAAAATCAGATATAAAAATACAAAAGAGTCTCAGCACACTATTACTGAGAATTGCATCCTTTCTCATTTTTACCATATAATTATAAAATAAATCAAATTGGAATATAAATATTGTACTTACATTTCAGTATATTGTATACAGAGCAATACAAAACAAATCACTGTCTATGAAATTTTAGTTTGTACTGACTTCGCTAGTGCTTTTTATTAGGGCTGTCGATTAATTGCAGTTAACTCACATGATTAACTCCAAAAAATTAATCACAATTAATCACAGTTTTAATCGCACTGTTAAACAATAGAATACCAACTGAAATTTATTAAATATTTTGGATGCTTTTCTACATTTTCAAATATTTGATTTCAATTTACAACACATAATACAAAGTGTACAGTGCTCATTTTATTTTTATTACAAATATTTGTCCTGTAAAAATGATAAACGAAAGAAATAGTATTTTTCAATTCACCTCATATAAGTAAGTGCATTGCAATCTCTATTGTGAAAGTGCAACTTACAAATGTAGATTTTTTTGTTACATAACTGCACTCAAAAACAAAACCATGTTAAAAACTTTAGGGCCTACAAGTCCACTCAGTCCTACTTCTTGTTCAGCCAATCACTAAGACAAACAAGTTTGTTTACATTTACAGGAGATAATGCTGCCTGCTTCTTATTTACTGTTATGGGTTGGACCCCTTGGGAAGTCACCTGATGTGCTGAGATACCACTGAGTCTATCTGTTCTGCCAGCATGGACCCCCTTTAAACCTGTCTTGCTGAGCCAGGCTCTTAAAACCGCCTCTAACACACACACAGGCAGGGCCACACCCAGCTGCAGATCAGCTCTGGGAAGACTCAGTTTAGGGGACTTGCTCCAGCACTCAGACGTCCACCTCCCTTGGAGTACAGACCCAAAGATATATTATGAAATTCGCTTCTTCCCTCAATGTGGAGGAGGGTGTACACAACTTCTCGCTCCCCCAGTTAGAAATCACATAAACTGGGTTATATTGTAAACCAGAAATAAATTTATTAACTATAACAGGTGTATTTTAAGTAGTTAAGGGGGTAGCAGACAGAACAAGGCAGATTACTAAGAAAATAAAACAGAACAGGCAAACTAAGCTTAATACACTAAAGAAACTGGTTACATGCAAGTTCTCACCCTAAATGTGGTTCCAATAATCTTCTTCACTGGCCAGACGCCCTTCCAGGCTCGGCCCAGTTCTTTCCCCCAGTTCAGTCTTAGTTGTTTCCAGCAGTCATCTTGGGTGAGGTAGCAGGGGAGAACTGATGACCTGGATTACCTCACTCCCCACACTTAAATAGGATTTGCATAAGGCGGGAGCCTTTGTTTCCTAGTTTGACCACCCCTAGCTTCTTGTGGAAAAGTACAAAATTCAAGATGGGCTCCAGTCTCGGGTGACATGGTTACATGCCTCTGTAGGGCCCTTGTAGCCATTCTTCACAGGCTAACCCACACATTCACAGGAAGACTAAGCTCTTTTACAGTCCATTGTCCTTGTTGATGGGCCATCTGCCCTGTCTGGCTTTTCCATTGTTGTACCTGAAGTGTTAGCAGTAGGCGTCACCCAAAGTAGCATAGTTGAAATACAGATACATAGTCAATATTCCTAATTTCGGATACAGAAATTATACATGCACACAAATAGGATAATCACATTTAGTAAATCATAACCTTTCCAATGATATCTTACATGAGCCATTTGCATAAAGTATATCTCATTTATGTCATATTAATATCATAAGCATATTTTCATAAAGAATATGGAATGACACGTCACAACAATGTCACCTGAAAATGAGAACAGGTGTTCGCATGGCACTGTTGTAGCCGGGATTGCATGGTATTTATGTGCCAGATATGCTAAACATTCGTATGTGCCTTCATGCTTTGGCTACCATTCCAGAAGACATGCTTCCATGCTGATGATGCTCGTTAAAAAAATTAATTTGTGACTAAACTCCTTGGGGGAGAACTGTACGTCTCCTGCTCTGTTTTAACTGCATTCTGCCATATATTTCGTGTTATGGCCAGGGCCGGCTCCAGCTTTTCTGCTGCCCCAAGCGGCGAAAAAAAACCCCCCAAAAAAACAAACAAAAAACGATCGGCGGCAGCTCAATCACGCCGCTCCGTTCTTCAACGGCAGTTCGGCGGCGGGTCCTTCGCTCCCTCTCTTCCACTTTGGCGGCACTTCGGCGGCAGCTCAAAGAGGAAGAGAGGGACTGAGGGAACCGCCGCTGAATTCCCGCCAAAGACCTGGACGTGCCGCCCCAATAGCGGACAGAGTGCTGCCCCTTTGTATTGGCCGCCCCAAGCACCTGCTTCCTTAGCTGGTGCCTGGAGCCGGCCCTGGTTATGGCAGTCTCAGATGACCCAGCACATGTTGTTCGTTTTAAGAACACTTTCAAAGTAGATCTGACAAAATGCAAAGAAGGTACCAATGTGAGATTTCTAAAGATAGCTACAGCACTTGACCCAAGGTTTAAGAATCTGAAGTGCCGTCCAAAATCTGAGAAGGACAAGGTGTGGAGCATGTTTTCAGAAGTCTTAAAAGAGCAACACTCGGATGCGGAAACTACAGAACCTGAACCACCAAAAAAGAAAATCAACCTTTTGTTGGTGGCATCTGACTCAGATGATGAAAATGAACGTGCGTCAGTCCACACTGCTTTGGATTGTTATCGAGCAGAACCCATCATCAGCGTGGAAGCATGTCCTCTGGAATGGTGGGTGAAGCATGAAGGGACATAAGCATCTTTACCGCATCAGGCACGTAAATATCTTGCATCGCTGGCTACAACAGTGCCATGTGAACGCTTGTTCTCCCTTTCAGGTAAACAAGAAGCAGGCAGCATTATCTCCTGCAAATGTGAACACATTTGTTTGTCTGAGCGATTGGCTGAACTAGAAGTAGGATTGAGTGGACTTGTAGACTCTAAAGTTTTGCATTGTTTTATTTTTGAATGCAGTTATTTTTTTGTACATAATTCTATATTTGTAGTTCAACTTTCATGATAAAGAGATTGCCCTACAGTACTTGTATTAGGTGAATTGAAAAATACTATTTCTTTTTTCTTTTTTACAGTACAAATATTTGTACTAAAAAATAAATATAAAGTGAGCACTGTAAACTTTGTATTCTGTGTTGTAATTGAAATCAATATATTTGAAAATGTAGAAAACATCCAAAAATATTTAAATAAATGGTTTTCTATTATTGTTTAATCACGCAATTAATTGTGATTAATTTTTTTAATCGCGTGATTAATCACACTTAATTTTTTTATTTGCTAGACAGCCCTACTTTTTATGTAGCATATTGCAAAATTTGGCAAATATCTAGATGAGTTGATGTTCCCCCTGGAAGACTTCTGAGTACCCCCAGGGGTACACATAGCCCTGGTTGAAAACCACTGCCTTAGGGTGACCTGCCTTTATCTATAAGGTCTAGAGAACATATTTTTCAGCATATACACATAACTCCTCACATATTTTCTATACATACAACTCACAATGGTTATGATGATCAGTGTGACGCAGGCTTTCAGTACATACCTTACATGACCCCTTTTGGTGAACCCAGGAGATCTCTTTATCCTGATGTACCTCTGTGCCCTATGCCAGCTGGCATCAAGAGGTCTTTGTGTCACAGTGGCAGAGTCTGGAACAGACCATGACAGCTGCCATTCCCAGAGGGAGCTCCTCAGCTGATCGCAATCAGAAAGGAATTGAAACCCGAACATTGTAGGTGGTGGGGCACACTGAGGACTTACTGCCAGTAGATCTCAAAATTTAGTATGCCTGCCTGGGATCTAATGTGTCAAAAATCTGGGGAGATCTGGCTCATCTTACGTTACAGAGCTGAAACACACCCACAAATCCAGTCAATACAACAACTTCATAAAAGTAATATTATTCCCATTTGACAGAAGGGGAAATTGGAACAGAGAATGAAATCACTTGCCCAAGATTTCAGAGGATATCAATATCAGAGGAACCACTCAGCATTTCCTGGCTCACAGTTCAGTGCTCAATCCACTAAAAAACACCTATTCTCCAGCTAGTTACATGACACCTGTTAGAGTACAATGAATATGAAGATGATCATTCTTACCCGGACAAGTTTTTCTGAATCACCCCTCCATTTGCTGACAATAGTGGACGCTGAAATGTTGAAGAAAGTTGTATTGCACTCAGTGGCAACAGCCTTAGCAAGCAGAGTCTTTCCAGTACCTACAAGCAACAGGGATGAGGAAATTCACTCTGACTAAATAAAATGTAAACGTAGGAATAACTCCCTTCATCATCTTACTAGTCAGAAAATGAACACAGACAGCAAGAGTGGAAATCGCAACAGAGAGTCCTGTGGCACCTTTCAGACTAACAGATGTATTGGAGCATAAGCTTTCGTGGGTGAATGCCCCCTTCGTCAGACGCATGAAGAGTGGAAATGGAATTAGAACTATTTGGAGAAAAGCAGGTAAAGCAGGACTTCAAGTCACAGCACAAACAGTTTCTGAGGTACTATACATTGAAATAATCAGAGCACCTCAATGGGCTGTCTTGCGGCAAATAAATGCAAGCACATACAAGACCAGATCCAACGCTATTTCACTGGGGGCAGGTAGCAGCTTGTCTAACACACTAATAGTTCTACAGACTCCCCAGATGCTCTCAGGTTATGCCTACACTAAAAACACTACAGTGTAGACACTTGCTACAGCAATGGGAGGAGTTCTCCTGTCACTGTAATTAATTCATCTCCCTGAGAGGCGATAGATAGGTCTATGGAAAAAAATCTTCCTAGTATTATCTATACCAGAGGTTAGGTCAGCATAACTGTCTCTCTCAGGGCTGTGGATTTTGCATGCTGATGAAAGTTTTCAGTGTAGACCAGCCATCGGTGTCTAGGCAACTTTCCAGTGGTGCCTGTGAGGGTGACAGAGATCGTGTGGAGAGCAGTCTAGACAGTGAGAGCATTTGGAGAGACTGCAGAAGTGTTGTGGTGCAGGACAGCCTCCATCCCTGCTAGCAGGAGACCAATACCATTTTCAAAACTAACTCCTAAATGAAGAAGAGGGGGAGCTGGGACATTTTTCCAGGAAGGGATAGTCCAAGCCAGATGTATATCTCTTTGAAGGTCAGTCCCAGCCAAATTAGGACTATTGGCAACTATGGCAAATGGAGCAACAATATGAAATTGACATGACCGCCGAAGCACATGACTGCTCTGATTACACTTGGAGTCAAGAGTGTTGGTTGGAGGGAGGATTTAGGTGTAGAAATATCCTAGAGTTGTAGGAACTCTGGATGTGGCAAGAAGTAGATAGAAGAGCTAAATTCGATGTCACCAAGTAAATTTGTTATATTAGTATATTGAATCAAATCAGCATGAAGCTCTTAAAATGCATTTATAATTCATGTTTGGATAGAAACAAAAATAGCAATATATGTAGATACACCTTTATTTATAGTATAAAACTATACCTACCTGGAGGTCCATATAGTAATAATCCTTTCCAAGGGGAGAGAATCCCTGTAAACAGCTGTGGGTACTATGGAAACAAAAGAGCAATTCAAGGATTAAAAATATAAAATCTGAGTCAAAATGCCATTTTTTGCAACAATCTTGTACATGCAGGAAATCTAGCAAACTAGAAGAGAGGAAAAATAAAAGAATTACACAATAGATTTTACCATACAAAATGCTACATTTAACCAGATGAAATCTATTTTAAATGTATTTTTCATGTTTTTACTTTGTATAAATGGATATAGGTTGCTATTCTCTTCAGTAATTCATTTTCCTATAGCATGATGTGTCTGGCAGCTTTTCTTTAGTCAAAATTCCCACAGAATAAGTACTAACGGACTGGGCTTTTTCTATCCAGCAGCGGCGTATTTGTATATGAAAAGTTACATGAGGTGTCAACTTAAATTCCATTTGCTGACTAGGAATTGCATTCAGAAAAGGACAGATACAATCCGAGGTATGGGACAGCACTTTACAAGAAAAATGTTAACTAGCTGGTGATATTTTGACCATGATAATGTACAGAAATGGTGTCCAGTACTAGTTTTCTCAAAGCTATTTAGAGCCTTACCCTTATAGGATACACCACTGCTTCCTTGACTAACCGCTTGGCTGCATCAAGTCCAATAATGTCATCCCACTTTATGTTTGGATTATGAAGATAAATGTCCTGCAATGCACATTTGATCTTTTTTAGAAAAAATAATGTTTTCCTGTACAAATATAATAAACCCGGAAGTAGCAAAACAGACGACTTATACCAAGATGTGAAGTACTAGTGATATTAAGTTATATAAACTGTTTAATGTACAGTATAGGCTCGTAACTGTTAGCTCACAAAAGGGAAGCACTGGAGACACACAATAGTAATTCCCAGAAAAAACACTATTTATGGCTGGCTCTCATTGAAGCCAATGGAGATTTGCCATTGGCTTTAAGGGGAGCACAGTAATGGCCATAGTGGATGAGACCAATGATCCATCTCTTCAACAGTGGCTAGTATCAGATAATTCAGAGCAAGGTGCAAGAAACTCTTAATGGATAATTATGGAATAATCTACCCAGGGAGAACATTCTATATAATAATTAGTCTATGCCCTGAAGAGTTCATTCAGATAATTTCATTCAATTAATCAAATTATCCATTTAAATCCTTCTAAGATCTTGGCCTCAATAATATTTTGTGGCAGTGTGTTCCACAGATGAATTTTTGCGTAAAAAGAAAAATCACATCCTTAATATAATTCCTTGGGGACTTAATTGGGACCACATTGCGGAATCAGGGTCTTAATCCATGTCACTGACTTCTTCAGCCATCTTGGTAATATATTAAAGGTTTTCCTTACAGCTGACTAATGTACAGTTTCTATAGAAAGGACATAGGGAAACACAATGCTGGTCTTGTCAGTACAGCTCCAACAGCATGGAGTGGTCAGTATATCCCCCAGCCCCATGAGGATGCGTGTTCTAAATTATTTCTGTGTGTTCTAGGCCAGGAAAAAAGCTTTTCTAGCATCATTACATGCGAGAAAGGGAAAACACATTGGGTCTAATTGATCATTGATAAAATTTTAATGGAGATACACCAGGAAAAAAAACTGGCCTGGTACCTTACCAACAAAAAGAAACCAACAGGATTCTCAGACACCTACAGTAACCACATTCTCTAAATGACAAATGAAGATCCAATCTTACTCTGCTTATAACCGTTGCAAGTTCTCTTATCTCACCACTCATGCCAATAAAAGCACTCAGAGGTTTTAACAATCGTTCCTAAAAAGGCAGAAGAAGTAAGTGGATGTCAACAATTTATTTCAGTAAATTTTTAATACAAATTATGAAGCAGTTTCAAAACAGTAACACGTTGAGGCAAAAAATGTTAAAGGTACAAATAACAACAATGACACTGAATTAAGTCATATTTTAGATGCCCCCATAGCTCTTCTAAGAGTAAGCCATTATAGGAGATCTCCCTAAGTCCTAATGGGTGAAGTTATGACTCAGGGCTGGATTCTGCCACCCTTCCTCACAGCAAGTAGCTCCCTTACTCCACAAACAGTTCTATTTATCTCAGCATAAGGATGGCAGAACCTGACTTGCAGGGATTAAGGCCCTTGAGGAATATAAACGACTGTTATCACACTTTCTCATGTGCTGTTTTAAAGGATGAAGTTCCTTTCAAGTGTAACAGGCAGCCCCAGACTGGGTGAGAAGGGGTGATTTTGCTGGTGGCTTTGGCTTGTGGCAGGCAGCGGTGGCCTTGACCGAAAACCTCTACCCCAAAGATTTTAGTGTCCTGGGGAAGGGCTAAGATAGAGAGACGTCAGTACCTTGCCATAAATTTGGAGACAGAAGAAACTGCTGGCTGGAACTTGAACACAGAGGGAAATAGTCTGTCCGTACTGAAGTCAGGGGCAAGGATTTCACCCAGATCTGTTTTGTGGAGCTCTGAAAATTGTGCTACATTTGTGAATTATAAGATGTGATTTGTATTTGCCACAAACATCCCTGTTCGGGAAGTAAATAATGTCAACAGATTAGACTAGTGTTAGTGTCCATTCATTGCTTTTTCAGCAAGGACATAAGCCACTCTAGAAATTCAAACCCTTCTTTACTAACTTGGAAGTTGGGACCATGTCAATTATGGTATTTTATTTTACTTTTGTTCCCCATTGCACAGTTCAGTGCATAGTTACTTCTAAAGTTAATTTTGTTAGATGGAAATAATAATCCCTTACTGAAGGATCTGGATCACAATTAAGGCTGTTTGAGGCTACTTCATTTGATGCGCCTTTGATAGCATCTTGGATCATCCCACGGAAGTCAATTATTTGGCCCTGAAAGAAAAAAGAATGATGTAATAGGCTTTATCCTATCTAAATAAAGTATCTGATTCTGCAGTTAAAACTTCAGGAATTACATAGTACAAAGCAAGCTTAACAGGATGACAGCTCTCCAACTACAAAAGGCAACAGGCCAAATTCTGCCCAAGAATCCCCATTGACAATTGCCCAAGAAGTCAATGGTAGCAGTGGGGAAAGAACCCAGGTGTCCCAACTCTCAATGCTGTGCTTTAACTACAAAACGATCTGTCCACCACTTTCAAGCAGCAGAAAAAAAAATTATACATTCAGCTTCCATTTTTACTATTAGGAGTTGGACTTTTCTATTCTATTCTATTTCTACATTGTTCCTTAGTTCTATACAGAGTGCACTAACTATGCCAAATAATGGGCTAAGGATAAAAGTTACAGTCCACCAGCAAACACATGGGAGACCTCAGACAGCCACACAGAAGAAGTATTTTATGTAAACGTACAGAAGAGTCATATCAAACCTTCGTGTACAACTTCTTTGTTTTTCTTCATACACGTAGATGTGTTTTGTGCATAGAAAGTTTCTACTGACCCTTCTTGGGTGAGTGCTTTCTCCTCCACCACCTCTGTTGATTGCTGACACATTTAAACCAAAATCAGCTTGCTCCCGAGTAACTGTATTGTCATTCTCCTAAAGAAAAATCAGTTTCAGAAAAACATAATTTCTTTCCAAGCAGATGACTGTTAGACTTCCTCGTAGTCCTTCACACATGCCCAGATGGTAAGATTTTTCAGCTGAACTTTTATATTCCACTGAACTTGTACCAATAATGCCTGATGTTAGTATGTAACATTATTATGTGCGTCTTTAGGTCTCAATCTGGCTAGCGGTTGAAAGCAATTCAGAGCCACAGCTCTAGCACTCAGCAGTCACTCGTTTCCTCTGCAGAGAGTTTTCTATGTAGTATGGAGAAATCAGCATAGTGCTCAGCAATGAGAAGAAACCTCTATGAGCACCATGAACTGAGCACTGGGGTACAGAAGAGATAACAGACGTGACTGGAAGAGGAGGTAGAGAATGAGCAGTGCATCTGTTTAAATGCAAATGATGGGCCATTTTAGGATTTTAAGTTACTCCAACATCTATCCATGACTAGTGCTACTGCTGTGTACTAAATTGCTGCACTTACAAAAAAGTGACAGCAGGGTCAGGCATGAGATCCAGCCCCTAACACAGACACGTGCCCAAGGATTTTAAGAAAACAATCTCCGCCACCTACTCAATGCCTCAAGAATCATGCTAGGCACAGAGTTCTGCCTGGCCACTAGTCTGGTGTTCCTGCTCCCCTTGACTTACTTCACCTTAACACATAGTTAATAGCAAAGCATCATGGTCAGCAGCCCTGCCAGACTCGACCCCAAAGAGCAAAAGACCACAGTGACAAATTACACTTACAAACTCAAAACTCAAATATGTTAGACTGGGTTGTGTGAATGTGTTTATGACTGCGACTGGACATCTTATTTGACCTTCCTTGGTCTGTAAACTTCCTTATCTCTAGCACTATGGGACCAATCCTTAAGCCCACTGAAATTAATGGAAAGATACCGGTTGACTTCATTTGCTGATGGATTAGGACCAATGTGAGATGTTCTTTTCCTCTATTTCCTCTCTGTGCCTTCCCCCCCCCTTCCCCCCCCGCTACCATCTTACCCAGATAGCATCTCCCACTGGACTCCTGTGTTGTTATACTTACATAAGCAATAAAACTCTTTACTCACAAACCTCCAAAAGTTTTCTCAGCCTCTTATTGACTATATCATAAGAACATAAGAACGGCCATACTGGGTCAGACCAAAGGTCCATCTAGCCCAGTATCCTGTCTTCCGACAGTGGCAATGCCAGGTGCCCCAGAGGGAATGAACAGAACAGGTAATCATCAAGTGATCCATCTCCTGTCACCCATTCCCAACTTCTGGCAAACAGAGGCTAGGGACACCATCCCTGTCCATCCTGGCTCATAGCCATTGATGGACCTATCCTCCATGAATGTATCTAGTTCTTTTTTGAAAACTGTTATAGTCTTGGCCTTCACAACATCCTCTGGCAAGGAGTTCCACAGGTTGATTGTGCATTGTGTGAAAAAATACTTCCTTTTGTTTGTTTTAAACCTGCTGCCTATTCATTTCATTTGGTGGCCCCTAGTTCTTGTGTTATGAGAAGGAGTAAATAAGGGCTTGTCTACACTTACCGGGGGATCGCCATATGGCTATCGATGCATCAGCGGTCAATTTAGCGGGTCTAGTGAAGACCCGCTAAATTGACCGCAGATCACTCTCCCGTCAACTCCTGTACTCCACCCAAACGAGAAGCACAAGGGGAGTCAACAGGAGAGCATCTCCCGTGGACATAGCGTAGTGTGTACCCCGCGGTAAGTAGATCTAAGCACGTCGACTTCAGATACGTTATTCACGTAGCTGAAGTTGCGTAACTTAGATCGATCTCCCCCCATAGTGTAGACAAGGCCTAATGTTTCCTTATTTATTTTCTCCACACCAGTCATGATTTTATAGACCTCTATCATATCCCCGCTTACTAGTCTCTTTTCCAAGATGAAAAGTCCCAGTCTTTTTAACCTCTCCTGATATGGCAGCTGTTCCATACCCCTAATCATTTTTGTTGCCCTTTTCTGAACCTTTCCCAACCTTTTGAGATGAGGCGACCACATCTGCACGCAATATTCAAGATGTGGGTATACCATGGATTTATATAGAGGCAATATGATATTTTCTGTCTTATTATCTATCTCTTTCTTAATGATTCCCAACATTCTGTTAGCTTTTTTGACTGCTGCTGCACATTGAGTGGATGTTTTCAGAGAACTATCCACAGTGACTCCAAGATCTCTTTCTTGAGTGGTAACAGCTAATTTACACACCATCCTGGTCCAAAATAAAATAAAATCAATCCCAATTGCAATGTAACATAGTCAACACATTTGAACCTGTTTGGGGCTGTCCTTGCTAGATGGTTTAGGCTCTGTTGTCCTCCCAGATGAGGTTTTTGATAATGGCCGCTGCATAGTTTGATGCTGGTTGATCCTAGGAAGATTATGAGAAGAGCTACTTGCCGTCCTAGGATACAAAAAGCCTTTCAGGGTGTAATTTTTAACTCCTCATTTTGTTTCCAGCATACCTCACAAGACAGAAGAATTAATGGTGGGATTTTCCAGAAAATACAGTGTTGTTCTAACTTTGGTCCCACTGAAGTCAATGAATTGAGGTCAATGCTGAATGCTTTTAAAAAATCCCACCCTAACCCTTTATATGTGATAATGGAGGGGATATTTCAGATATTTTAGCAATCTATGAATCAGGTTGAAAAATAAAATAAAAAAGTCTTATCTAAAATTTTGTTAGCTTTTTAAAAGAAACTGAAATTCCACCATTTAGTTTCCAGCGTGCTCACTGGTATGTTAGTTTAGTACCTCCAGGGTATCAGAGCATTAGTGTAACAGTACCATGTTTTACTCTTAGGGGAAAATCTTCTGCCCAGTGCCCAGCCCAAATGACTTTTGCCTTACCTTCTTGGTTTTCCTCCATTTCTTGGTTGCTGTTTATTTTCTGCTGTGGCAAAATAAATATTGAAATTAGAAATAAATAAGAGTGGGATGCCATGGTCAAGGAAGAAAGAAAATTTCATTTTTTCTTTTAAAAACATTTTTGAGTGAACCTTGTGCTTGTGAAAGTTGCGAGGTTATGAAGCTCAGAAACTAAAGTCACCTTATAAAGCAGGTACAACACCGGCAGTAACAGAGTAAACCTGCCAAAGTGCCTCAATCCTGACATGACTAGTGGAGAAAGTAGTTCAGGCTTATTAAGTCTTTAGTTCCATTCAGTCTTTGGTCTCTCTCCTGAGACTTCAAACAAGGTGCCAAATCGACATTGGTTACTGTGATATGGACCTTTCTTCACTATGGATTGGATTGAGCCCACTAAACTCATTTCACATACAGCATTGTAACTTTTACCCATTGCCAAATTAGGACAGATTTAGGGTTGCAACTAATAACACTTAAGAGTCCATCCTTAGGACAAAGTGCTGTCTCACACCATTTTAATCACTCTGCCTTAAAGCTGCCAAGCTGCAACATGCCATCACAACAAAAATGTCACAACCTGATGATGCTCCATTAACCCTCAAGTTATTTTCCAAGAGTGCCTGATATAAGATTTACACACACACACACACACACACACACACACACACACACACACACACA